AGTAAAAGCATCAATTTTGTGTTTTTCTTTTATGGTGCAAATGTTATGAATTCTTTACCTACTCAAAGATTTCCAAGTATTCAAGTACATGATAAAAGTGCATAATATGAGAAAAATAATAGCTATACCTTATATGAGTGATCATTTAAGAAAGGTCTCTGAAGTAGATAGTGTAGAAATCTAGTCAGAAGAGTGACTCACACTGAAAATCCAAGAGCAGGTGGCACAACTAGTTCACATGACCATGGTAATTAATGATTTTCAGTCTGCAATATCATTTAGTTAGTCATAATTCAAACATGAAATTAGTAAGGATTAATTTCTTTTAAACAAAAGTGTTATCAAGAGGAGGTAAATGGTTGACTACAGTCGCAGCATCACCTCTGCCACCTCTTAAGTGCGTCTTAATGGCTTCATATCTTTACTACCTTAATGGAATGCTAACTGAAGTTGGTCTTATCACGTCTCTCAATGCCTTTGTTCCCCTCTTTATACCATAACTACCAACCATTTAAACTCATGCAATCCTCAGAGTTTCCATCTGATGGCCTTTCCTAACATGAGAAAGATAAACATTGGATTTCAGAGAATTACTTTCAGATTTTGCAAGAATTCTTTAGTGATTATAAGCCATCCCGGCTTTGTATCTTCACTATATCTCTGCTTCTTCTCTACTATCTCACTGAATCCTCTGCCACCTCCAAAGTATGAAGGCAATGTGTTTACTGTGGACTCAATTCTCTGCCACAGGTACATTATTTTAAAAAAATTAATATCATTGAGGAACAAGTCTCTTACAGAGAACTGCAAAGGCACATATCAGCCTGGCATGTTAAATTCATAAAATAATTAAAAGTAGTTAATATAAGTGGATTTTTTAGCAAAAACACCCTCCCCAATTAATAAGCAGCAACCCAAAATACAGTTACTACTATCCACCTACAGTATCCCTGTAATAATGTCTGATTCTGATCTCAGTTACACTTTAGATGTTAATTCGATCTGTTCTGTCTCTTCAAAACAAGCAGTATTGTCCAGAAACATATTTTGTTTGGTTGCTTTTTTAAAAAATTATGAAAATGTTGAATGCCACATATGGAAGTTAATGAATGTTGGGCTTCTAATAACTATTTTGTGCCCTTCAAAATTTTCTTTTTCATTGCTTATGTATGATAGTTGAGGATTTGGGAATATATTAAAAAATTCTATATTTTTACTCCAAAAATGCAGAATGGGACAGAAAAATTTAATGAAGATTCCAAATACTTTGATTAAAATTTCTACATTCTAATGCAAAGTTTGACTTTAGTTTGAAGTTTGACTATGATTTATCATGTAAAAAACCTGCCCAACTAGAGTCATGTTTTCAAAAGACCATGCCAGTATGCAGTAACCACATTAGGATCACACCTTCGTTCTGTAAAAAATACATAAAAATGTGACCTCTGATTAAGTAATCAATATTGAATAATTGATGAAAAATTTGTCAACATTTACTATATTACAAAATAATAAACACTAAGATTAAGCTTAGTTTAAGTTTTCATATATAAACCTGCTTTGAACTATGTCAGATAAGTGTAACAACTTAATACAGATGGAAACAACTGAATGAATATTCTGAATATTGGATATTGTTAGATATATCTTACAGATGGAGTTATTTTGAAATCTGGATTCAAATATTTCTAAGGATTAAACAACATGCTGTAATGAAGTGTAGTAATATTTTTTAGTGATCAATAAAGGATTTCTTCTTGTAGGAACAATGTTTTCACACTCATTCATAAATATGATTTCCCATTAGAGAGCTTTTTGCTACTTTGTAAATAATTGTTCTTTGCTACCAAAAATTTAAAATTACCAATAGTAGGTGTAGCTAAGAGAAATCATTAATCATTGTGCCTATGATACTAATATTTCATCTGCATATGTTAATTGCATCCTGTTCTTGATATCCACCATGAAATACCAAATAGCTTAGCATATTAGCCTGGATAATCTTTGCATATGTTCATAAAAGAATGAAGCCAATGATTTGGTTCACTTCCCACACTTATTAGAGAGGCTCAAGGTCATTTAAAAAAAATTATTTCAAACAAATGTAAGTCACACCTAATGCACATAGGACTAGGTCATAAAAAATATTAGGGAATAAAGGTAGAACATAAAAAATTATTCAGCTTTTATCTAACTCCAAAATCATCAGTTTTTGTCTTTTAGGGTCTATAGACACTCATATATTCTATTTTTGCACATTTCAGGGGATCAAGTTTTGATGGACTAAGCCGTTCACCAGCCAGTTTATAATGAAGCCTGGCCAGACACAGAACATCAGTGTTCCTCAACAAAGATTTCGTACAGGGCTTGATGTACTAGCCATTTTCAGAGAATACTTAAAGTCATCCTAAATGGTTGTCCTCCCAAACTAATAGAGTCATGGCCTTCATTTTATTTTTGATAGTCTGAATGAAGGATGTATATTTGACTATATTTTATCTAAAAGACTAGACTTCTGAACTAGTAGGACCCTTAACTCCTTTCTCCATGTGGGCCAAACTCATGTCTTGGCAGTATGTTAAGTAACACCAAGTTATTCAGAAGGTGTATGGAGATGGTACTCTATCCTCCTTTACTGAGATTCTACAACTCAGTGAAAATATCCACGTTATTGCAACAAGACTTTTTACTTGATAGAGTCTGACTATGGACCCTTATATCAGTTTCACCCTCAGAGTATCTGTGTTATTTATCTAATATTTTTCTTCGTGGAAATTATCAAGTTCTCTTCTCTTAGATCAAGTTCTATTCCCATAGAATAGGAAAAGCTTTTATATGTGTTTTGATTTGTACTCTTTTCAAGACCAATTGTATATGTTGTAAAGCATGTCCCTTGAGCTGAGTGAGCCACCTGGAATGTTGAAGGTTTTCCCTTCCTCTCCTCTGACCTACTTAGCTCCAACTATGAGCAAAATGAGAATACTCATTCATAATATTTCTCTTTTAAATATTCTCAGATGCCTCACTTTTCCGATAAACCTGTAAGTTTAAATACGGTTCAAAAGAATTTAAAAAAAAGAACCCAGATTCTAAACTGATATTAAAAATGTAAAGATGTAGAGAACATGATAAGTAATTTAAGAAAAAAATTATTTTTGCTCCTTACCTAAAACATCAGATCAAAATGTTACAGGTATCAAGGCCCTATTTTTTTTTAATAAATAAATAAATACATAAACCCCCCATATATGCCGAGGTGATATTTTATACTATGTTTCTTTATAACACTATTAGTTTCAAAGGAGTTTAAAAAATACAATGGGCGGAATGGAGGAATCTGTTTTCTACTAGGCAAATTCTATTGTATAAGTGAAAATTACAAAGCTAATGCCTGGGGTTTGGTGGTTTTTTGGGGTTTCTTTGTTTGTCGGGGTTTTTTGGGGGTGGTATTTTTGGGGGGGGCCTATTCTGTGACATCATATCTTAAAGTAGTATAGGGTTTGCCATCTTTTAAATAAGGCCTTTTTCACACAGGAAAGAAAATGGTCCAGTTAGAATCGGTGACAGACATATCCACTACTTCTTTTATGATAAGATTTTTTTTTCTCTTTTAATTGCAATGGCAGTCCTTCCAAGCAAAATATTTTCCTTTAGTGAATGTTAAAATAGATAACACTGGAAGATTGCTAAGTAGATTATAAGTGACAATAAGAGATACAATTATTGCATTGATAAAGAAATTCTTTATCTTTCATTACCTACGAAAAAGAACTTCAGAAAAAGGGAAGCTTTCCCCTCTTATACACAACCACCTTCCTCACCAACTCTTCTCTAGGAAACAACTTTCACATCTCATTTTAAATTGAGGAAAAAACTTTTGACTTCTATTGTACACAGTCCACACTTCCAAACATTTACGAGGCCCAGTCTTCCAATTTGATGCCACTGAATTTTGGAATTCAGTACTATGGTGGTTTTGGTGGACAAGGAAAATATTAAACTTCTTCAAATGCTTATAATAATGGTTATTCTTTAGATTGGAGAATTTATATTTTTTTTCTGCTTTGCTTGTACTCCACCATATAATTTGCGATAGAAATTTAAAATACACAGTGCACTCTATTTAAAATATATAATTATTCAAATTGGAAATGGATTCAATAGGGTTTTTTGTCTTCAAATTATGAAAAGAAATTGAAAATAACATGATAATTGAATTTTATTCTAACTTATGAAGCAAAAGTTAATTTTGTAATTTGGCATTTTTCTGATATTAAAATCTGCATACATGGGAGAGGTTTTGTGCTTAATCTTACAGAATATGTGACTTCACAAAGTGAAAAGTCTAAAGTGGCTATCAATTTCTGTTAAGAAATCAGTAAAATAAAAATTTAATCTTTTCTTAGAGTTTAAATCTGAAAATACTGATACTTGAGATGGGTAATCTAACTGAAGTCAGATTTTTGGAATGAGTGGAGTTCTTCATATCGATAAAAGTTTGAATAATTGGATCTTTCATGCATTTCAAGGCTTAATTTTTCTACAACTCATACGTCCAACAACTTAATGACGTAACGTTGTATATACAAAATATTTCATCTACGTGGTTTCAAAACTAGTAATAACAAAAAAGAAACCAACATATATTATGACATCCAAAGTATATTTAATGTTGTATTTAAATACATATATATGGTATATATCTCTATACTCTGCTGTTAATTATTTCAAGAATGTCTGTCAGCATATAGAATGACATTACTACTAACCTTCTATTCCCAATAATAACACATAGCACTACTTATCCAATGTTAATAGAAACTTGAATCAATAGTTTTCCTATTATTACACATATATCTTATTACATATGTTGTTGAAAATGGTTTTTTCCTGAAAGAGAATATTATTAAAATGTTCTTCCAATTTTTCACGTTTTTTCCATATGACTAAAAAAACAGTAACAACAACAGCAACTAAAATAAATTAAAAACTGTTCTTACCATGACAACTGGGCAGGGCTCTGTTCCATCCAGGTCTTCCATCATCTCCCATGATACATGTTAGTGTAGAATATCCCTGAAGAACATAACCTGCATCGCAGTAATATGTGACAGTGGAACCCAGTTTATAATCCATTCCAAGTCTTGTTCCATTCATTATATTTCCAGGATCAAAGCAAGACTCACGAAGCTTTGCTATAGAGGAAACAAATGTAAATATAATTCTGAATATAATCTAAAATTTTACAAATATTTTCTGGAGTTCTCTCAAGGTCTTCTTTGAGCACCCTGTAGACCCTGTTGATTTTTTTAAGAAGTCTTTCTTTCTACATCAAATGTTCTCTCTCCTTCTTTTTAAAGCCTTTACAAATTACTATGTAATGACCAAAACTAAGTCTTCTGTATTTTTTCCAGATAATTTCTATAGTGCTCCATTACAGAACTATGTTTTTATCAGAAAATTCATTGTGACCAATGACGTAGGTATGTAGTTAGATGAAGGTAGATCCATGCACATTCTTCCAGTAGATAAGACACATCCTAGTTTTAAAATCTGTGGTGGGAAAACTTGTAAATGGAGGAAATTAATATGAGTAGTTTGTCATAAAATAGGAAGTATGCAAACAAGAATTTCTTCAAAATTAATAAACTATAAATGAATATCTATTTACATATGATATAATGGTATATTTTCCTATAGTTTTTTTCCCTCGCGGGAGGACAAAGTACAAAAATACTCCTTAATTTTTTCTAACTTTTTAATTTTTTATAGATATTTCTTTCAAAATATTGAAATAAATTAAAACATATGCACATACTTTTATATTTGTTTCCCTCTTATTTCTATAACATGAATGTGCAACAAAAAATTGCACAAAAATAAACACTTGGCACTTCTAATTAACAACATTATTATGCAGAAGATGAGAAAAGTTAAACATTTTGGAAAAAAAATGCAATTTCCATTAAGGAAAAAAACCAGGAAATATATTAGACAGAAGCTATAATGAAGCAGATAATTTTGTGCTATGCAGGATAGAGTCTGGAGTAATACATTTTATCAAGCAGAAGACAGATATTTCAGATTTTCTTTAATATTTAAGTGTGTTGTGGAGAAGATCAATGGGGAACACTTCTTCATTTTCTGCAAGATCAGTGCCAACTTTCTAATACATCAAAAGAAGTGTTTATTTACCAGGCATATTTGCACCACTTAACTTTCTGCTAAAGGTAAGTATCGTTAACAAATGATTATATGAGCCTTGAAATTCCTGAAAGGCTTTTTAAGAGCTTCAAATAAAGACACTTTACCTGATTCTGGCAGTACTTAAACTGAAGTTTCTGAAAAATTATAGATAAATTATTATTTATTTGACTTTTATATAGTTTGGTCACACATAAGCTATTGGTCACTACTAGAGCCAAGTTAATGTACTAAGTAGATTCCTTAAGGTCATTTTTTTGTTCTACTGTTTCTGAGAGGAGAGAAATAATTACATTGCATTTACATTTGAAGATGGAAAAACCAAATAATTCTTTTGAAATTTCAACTTAACACCTTCCAAAAGAACTTGAAGATCTCCTAATGTGGTTAACAATTTATTAAGATTTACATATATAATCTACACAGCATGCTTTTGATATGAAAAACAATCCAATAAAAATTAATAGTTATATCACATGATTAATCATTAAGATCAGGTATTAGATATTCACATTGATTCATTTAGTTAGTTGTAGTGTGGTGTCTAAAACTTTTTTTACATTCATTCAAAATTTTGGATGGACAATGAAAAGTTAAAAGAGGCAATCTACTAGAAAGTCTGTAAAGATATCACACAGATATTAATAATTATTATGTAAGCCAACCACACCTTCACTTGCAGGTCTTAGGGCAAATTGAAAATTCTTTCAAGTCCAAATTATCAAATTTAGGAAAAAAAAAAAAAAAAAAAAGAAAGAAAAGAAAGGGAAAAAAAAGGATAATTTAATTTAGGATTATAACTAGTATTTTTACAATAATCAATACAATATTATTTTTCCTTCTTGTTGAACTAATATTGATATATCTGTATTGATTCACAACTGATATTGTGAGATCATCATTCTTGAATTTATGATTCCAAAAAATAATTCCAAATATTTCATAATTCTAGAAAATTCTTGGATAAAGTAGATACTAGTACTACATGAAAAGATAAAGAAAGAAAAAAATAATTTATTATGCCTGGTGAATAAATCAAAATTTGAGGAAAGACATGATCTGTCACAGCACAAATTATCTCTAGGGAAAAGTTACAGCCCTGTAATTTTCTTTTCCCCAAAATTATAGTTGTGACAGACTCTTGAAGTTGCTGACTAAACAGTTACAATGTCACTATTGAAATACAGTTTCTTAATAACCATTCTGAAAAATAAAGCCTGAAATACTTAGCACCTTAAAATTACTTTTGTGAATCTGAAGCAGCTGCTAAGTGAACTTGTAAAAAAAAGTCGTTAGACTACGCTACAGTAGGAGAAAAATTATGTCAAATGGTGGCAAAAGGATTCACCAGGTCTGGCTGAGAACCAGTGACGAAAAGAGAAAATAAGATTGTATTAGCAAAATTGCCAGGAAACAGGAATACAAATCTTTCACCATCGACATCCTGTTGACCTGCAGTCAACTCAACCTTTCAAACTCCATGATGAGCACCAAAAAGGTCTGTTGTGGTTTAACTCCAGCTGGCAACTAAGCACCACACTACTGCTTGGTCACTCCTGACGGTGGGATAGGGAAGAGAATCAGAAAGGTAAAACTGAAATAACTTGTGGATGAAATAAGAATAATGAAATAAGTTAAATAGTTGAAATAAATTCTAATAGTAATATTAGAAATAACAATAGAAATAATAATAAATTTAAATTAAAATGAAAATGAAAAAAAAAAAGAGGGAGAAATAAAACCCCAGAAAAACAAGTTATGTTAATGAAAAACAATTACTCACCACCAACCAACCTATGTCCAGCTGGTTCCTAAATAATGTCCCTTTTAGATTTCCCTTTAGTTTGCATGCTGAGCATGAGACAACACCATATCATATGGAATATCCCTTTTAACTTTTAAGGACTAGCTCATACTGTGTAAACTTCCTTTACATCAGTAGAATTTCATGACTTTAGGAAAGTATAAGGAAACTTCATGGGTTTGCCAAGGCAGCAAATACCTAAGTCTTTCCCTTCCTTACTAATTGCTATCAGAATAAATGGAGAAGAAAATAAGACCAAGGAGGTCTATACCAGCAACATTCATATTTTCCCTCTGGTTGTCTTTACAGATTATTGAATATTTTCGTATTTAGTTAATAGCAAATATTTCTGTTCCTCGAGCCATGTAGAGGCAGTTATGAAAGTTACCATTGGTTATATATTTTCAAGTCTGTATTTTCCTTTTTACTGTGTTATGACCTTGGACAGATTTGTCTGAGACAGGCAGACAGCTCTACTATGGTCTATTATACAAAGATTCGGCCAAAATATTTTTTCATTTCCAATACTGGACACCTAGATTCTAGCACATCATTTCATCTTGCAAGACCCTAAATGCACATAAGTCAACATGACCTACTATATCAAATAAAAATAAATTTTAAATTCTGGGTAAAACACATATATATGCTGTTAAGTTTTGCCACTGCATCATTATTTTTGAAACATGTAAACTACTGTTTCATTTTTGTTCATAGAATCATAGACTCATAGAATGGTTTTGGTTGGAAAGGATCTTAAAGATCATCTAGTTCCATTACCCCATGCCATGGGCAGCAAACCTTCTGCTAGACCAGGTTGCTTAGAGCCCCCATCCAGTCTAGTCTTGAACACCTTCAGGGATGGGGAGCCCACAGCCTCTCTGGGAAACCTGTTCCAGTGCCTCACTGCCCTCACAGTAAAGAATTTCTGCCTCATATCAAAACTAAACCTACCCTCCTTCAGGTTAAGGCCATTCTCCCTTGTCCTATCACTATAAGGGCCTTCCCAGCCTTCTTGTAAGCCCCCTTTACATACTGGAAGGAATCATGTAATCAACATTATCATCTGTCAGGTATATGAAATCATATTAGAAACTTTATCTTAAGTTAGTATAACATTATACACATTATCATACTCTTAGGCAAAACAAAAACATTACCAGGTAGAAAACTACAAGAAATTCCAACAGATTAAAATTTGCACTCATGCATTGAACTTTTCAAATAGATAAGAAAAATAATTTTACTTACCTTTGTACTCTAGATGGAATCCAGTAAAACTAACAGATCCATCACTCCGAAAAGCCAGATGCATAGTATTTGAACTGCTTTCTATCCTCTCTGGCAGCTTGCTGTCTTGAAAGCTCCCAATTAGTGGGCTATTACTGTCTGGCCCATCATAGATATAGAGAAAGTCATAATTTGGTTCTATACTGAAGCTGGAGAACAAAAAAAAAAAAAAATAAAGAGAGAGAAATGTTAGATAGAACATGCTTTGCTTAAGATTTTCACTCTTAGCTTAAATTTGAAGTTTACTATCACTGTTTTCATAAAAGGAAAACAAAGTCTCCACTGTCAGAAAAAAGGTTTGTAGAAGTGTTTTAGTAGAAAACAAAGAAATACCAAAGAAATACCATATTTTTCGTTTCTCTCTTTAGAATTGATTGTTTGCTGCTAACCAGAAAAAACACCCCACAACCCAAACCTTTTTAAATAGAAAAAAAATTAATAGCATATTTCTAAAGCTTTAGAAAAAAACCCAATGTAGACCCATTGGAACTCTTTGCAGAAATGCTTTATGATATAATGCAGTCAGCTGCATAGTAGAGAATACACAGCTTCTAATCAGACTGAAACACTTTCACACAGCCAGGGGATGATCTTCCCTTAACTCTGAGAGCAGAAAGCATTTTGCCTATAATCGGTTTAAATAAAAAGATGTAGTATTAAAACTTCATCTTTTCTTTTGAAAGAAATTATGGTTAGTTAACTAACTTAATTAGTTAAGTTTGAATTTAATTTTAAGTTAAGGGTGAGAGTTAACCAATTTTACTTATAAGATTGTCCCTGTATAAAAAAAATGTTTTTAAAAAAAGATACTTAGTGAAAGAATGAAAATCCAAACTATGTTGTGTCTAGTTGAAAGCAGCTCCTGACTGAAATAAATGTAGGCATTGAAGACCTCATAGAGCTCCTTTTTCAATATTTGGGTTATTCAAAAAATATTTCCTTCCAAAAGAAATGCAAAAGTTAACACTTTTGATTGTTAAAGTGCCATAGTTTGTCTTGAGTTTAAAAGGATTAGCTGGAGTAAGTTCCACTCAAAAGCCTATTTAACATCACTTAGTAGAGTGTTCAAAGTTTCTCAATCTGAAATTGTCTGTGTGTCATAAATGAAGCAATTCTCAGTAAGGATGCACTCTTCTTTGACCAAGACTAAGCTTCTAAGCTTCTGTCAAAAACCATAGCAATTGACCAGATTTTAAGATATTTTAATGTAGTAATATTTGAGATTTATAAACTGTTCATATACTTAGTCACATTGTAAAATATTATTTTTATTCTACAATGGGGGTTCTCGTATATCTAAATGTACAATATAAAGAGCAGAATATTCTTAAATATCTTAATCTCACAATATTTAACCAAATAAAACATGTGCTACTGCAAAATAGAAAGTTCCTTAGCAACTTATATTCTGAAATCACCAACAAAATTAAATAATAAATTATGTAAATATAATTGAACAGTTATTTCCCTAGAATGAATTCACTAAAACACATACTATATCACTGAGCACCAAGAACAGAAAACTATATGACCTACCTCACTAAAGTCATCACATTAGCACTGATCAGAACAATAAAGACACTATTATAGAACATCCAGTATAAAAAGAACTTAAATTTGATGGGATATCACATTTTTACCTTTTCTGTGACATATTCCCCAGCTGGAATGCATAGTTTTCATACATAATAGATATATTAATTTGCATCCTGTGTTACATACAATGCATATAACAAAAGTTCCTCTGTGGAACTATGAAGGTCAATTTAATCTTGCATTGTAATTAAATAAAATTCTAGAAAAATTCCACCTAATAACCAGAACATCAGGAAGTATCTTGTTGAAGTATCCTGAAATGATATGGACTAATAAAACTAAATTTAGAGACAGCTTTTGAAATTTTGCCTATATAGCTGGTGTCTCAAACAAAATACGGTGAATCAATTCACCATTAAAGACCATCCTGGATTGCAGACAGTTCAGTTACTCCATCCATTCTGCCTTCTCAGGAATTGAATCTTATAAATTGAGCACCATCCATCTCAACATTAGCTAGTGCAAACAGAGTACTTTTAAGTAAACAGGAGCAATGAGTTCCAACTCCATTGGTCTGTGTATTGAGTAATTTTATGTATTTGTTGTGACTGTTAACAAAGATAACAATTACTAATTAGTTTGATAGTCATATTAAGTATACATATACCCTGAACAACACCAATAATAAAGTTATAAACATGACTTTAAAAATTATGAGTAAGTAGCAGTTTACCTGATAAATGCTAATGATATAACATAATCATTATTTACAGTGATAGTCCAGTCACAATCTCTGCTGTGGGGATAAGGATGAGGGAAGTTTGGTGAAAGTATAAAACCTGATGAGCCAGTCAGGTTTCCTCCACAGGGAGCTGTGAATAAAAATAGATTGAATTTGAGAAAAGAAGGTAAAAAATAAAGAAGCAAGTAACAGCAATCTGTTCACTGACATTTAATGTCCTCCAGAAGTTAAACAAAAAACAACTGAAGGATTTACAAAGCTTTAACAGAAACAAAAAAACCCCAGATATTCACATTTAGCTTTAGACCAATTGTAATACTACTAAGTGAAACACTTGTTTTTGAACTCTGTGTCACTTTATTTGCTTGTATAATATTATGTCAAGGCTTTTCTGAATATACTGTGAACTTGAAAAATGCTCTGGCTACAGACTTCAAAAACTTGACTGGATAAGCTTTCCACTTTCTACTTATTGAAGGCTTTGAAATATGATCTACTTACATCGATAATGTAATTACCTGCCTTTTCACCAGACAACACTCACTATTAACTCAGATCCAGATGGATATAATATAAATTAAAAAAAAAATTAAATTAATTGCAGTCGTCAAACTCAGAGATAGATAAAATAGCTTTCAAGCACAATCAGAGTAAAACAACCACATTTGTCTATGTGATTTTGAGGTTCCTAAAAGTTGTGGGGTTTTGGTCCAGAAATATAAATAGTAAAAAGAATGAAAGTATAAATAAATCTTGTTCTTCAGCATTCCTTATGGAAGACTTCATGTCTCAACAAGAGAATGAGTATGTTTTCTAAAGATTTTTTTTGAAAGAAATTCTTAAAATTTTATTCAAAAAATTCTACATAAGATTTATAAAGACTTATCATTTTGCAAACTAATTCTACTAAGTGATCACCTGCCGTTCCCTGCAGGTAAGTAATTGATCACTCAGGTTTTCTGTAACAGAGATTCTGTAACTGTTAGCTCTAAGGTTATTTAAATCATTTATAGAATCATATAGATCGAGTCCAACTGTAAACCTAACACTGCCAAGTTCACCACCAAACCATGTCCCTAAGTGACACATCTACACATCTTTTAAATACTTCCAGGGATGAGGACTCAACCACTTCCCTTGTCAGCCTGTTCCAATGGTTGGTAACCCTTTTGGTGAAGAAATTTTTCCTACTACCCATCTAAACCTCCCCTGGTGCAACTTGAAGCCATTTCCTCTCATCCTGTCATTTGTTACTTGAGAGAAGAAATGAACACCCACCTCACTACAACTACCTAGTTGTAGAGAGCAAGAAGGTTTTTCCTGAGCTTTCCTTTCTCTAGGCTACAGAACCTCAACTTCCTCAGCTGATCTTCACGAGGCTTGACCCTTCACCAGCTTTGCTACCCTTCTCTGGACTCACTCCAGCACCTCAATGTCTTTCTTGTAGTGAGGGCCCCATAACTGAACACAGGATTCAAGATGCAACCTCACCAGTGCCTGGTGCAGGCGGACAGTCACTGCCCTCACACTGCTGGCCACACCATTTCTGATATAAACCAGGATGCCATTGGCTTTCTTGGCCACTTGGGCACACTGCAGGCTCATGTTCAGTTGGCTGTCGACCAATGCCCCCAGGTCCTTTTCCACCTGGCAGCTTTCCAGCCTAGCTTCCCCCAGCCTGTAGCAATGCATGGGATTGTTGAGACCAGACTGCAGGATCCAGGACTTCATCTTATCGAATCTCATACCATTGGCATGGCCCATTGATCCAGCCTGTCCAGACCCCTCTGCAATGCCTTCCTACCCTCCAACAGATCAACACTCCTGCACAACTTAGTGTTGTCTGTGAACTAACTGAAGGTGTGCTCGATCCCCTCTTCCAGATCATCAATAAAGATGTTAAACAGCACTGGCCCCAGTACTGAGTCCTGAGAAACAACTCTAGTGACTATCAACCAACTGTATGTAAATCCATTCACCATGACTCTGGGCCCAGCCATCCAGTCAGTAGTTTACCCAGTGAAGAGTTCACCTGTCCAACCCATGAACAGTCAGTTTCTCCATGAGAATGCTGTAGGAAATGGTATCAAAATCTTTACTGTACTCCGGGTAGTCAACATTCCCTGAGCAAGGTCCTTGTCATACAAGGAGGTCATGTTAGTCATTCAGGACCTGCCTTTAATAAATCAATGCTGTCTGGGCCTGATCCCCTGATCCCCTGTATGTGCTGCGTGATGGTACTCAAGATGATGCGTACAGAACAAGATGATATGTACAGGTATTATTCAACCTAGTGGGAAATACACACAATATTTCCTTACATCATGAGAAATACTGCCTTCAGCTCTGGGGCCCCCAGCACAAGAAAGACATTGACCTGTCAGAGTAAGTCCAGAGAAGGGATGATCAGAGGGCTGGAATACCTCACCTATGAAGACAGGCTGAGACAGATAGAATTGTGCCTGGAGAAGAAAAGGCTCCAGGAGACTTTACAGCAGGCTTCCAGTGCCTAAAGGGGGCCTACAAGAGAGATGGACAGGGACTTTTGACAAGGTGATTCAGTGACAGGACAAGGGAGAAGGGTTTTAAATTGAAAGGTAAGTTTAGGAAGAGATTCTTTACTATGAGGGTGGTGAAATATTGGAACACATTGTCCGGAGAAGTTGTGGATGCCCCATTCCTGGAAGTGTTCAAGGTCAAGCTGGATGGGGCTTTGAGCAATCTGGTCTAATGGAAGGTGTCCCTGCCTATGGTAGGAGGGTGGGAACTAGATGGTCCATCCAAACCATGCTATGATTCTATAAATTAAATCACAAGTCATTTATGAATTCAAGTACTGAAAGTAGAACACTTTAGTAGATTAATGCATCCACAGTTGCAGTCCATATGAGTGTAATCTTTCTACATTTTACATATTTTTTAATATTAAAAGGGAGTAATGAATAGTGAAACTAACTCAAAACAAAAAAAAATAGAATATTCATTTACATTTTTTTATTAAAAGTCATATGAATTCCAAAATCATCATTTTGTGTAAAAACAGTTAAAAGCTGAAACAACTCCTTGCTCGAGGAACACAAAAATATCATGAATCAATAGTACCAGTAAATGCATAAAATATATCTTCCAGGCCTAGTACAATTTGTTTTGTTTTTCTTAATAGCTGCCAAATACAATTTTTATCACAATAAATCAACAGATATTTTCAGTTGCTGGAGAAAATTTCATTAGCTACAAGGTAACAGACTGGAGAAGTTTCACTTAGTATGAAACATTTACTTAGTTTTACAAGAAGGATAATGATCGCAATTTCTCTGTCTTCAAAAAATTAAAATTGGTATTGTTTAGGAACATCTGTCATTTAATATTCTTTTGTCACTGAAATAAGTAAAATGAAATTATTACAAAACAATATGCATCCTTTAACTGTAAAAGAGGTCCCTGCAACCTTCTCTCTCGTTGAAGTAAAAGTTCATGCAAAAGAGGAGCTGTGAGGTTGTATGGAATGTAAAAGCTGCTCATCAGCTGCAACTACTGTTCTTCAGTATAACCCTGTAGACTCCTTCCCTTCAAGTACTTTAATAGTTCTGGTTGCACTATCTGCATATCTTGGGAATGAAAATTTAAAGATTACCAAAGAGGATATTTAGGTCATTAACTGTAATCAAGCTTCACTGAAATGACCACTAAACTGTATGAGTCTGATGATATTTTTGAGGTATCTTGAATGGATATATGATGATACAAAGAAGTTAAACTGCTATGTCATTGTTTCACACTATTTTCTGTCAATGTCTGCATTCATGGTACTTTCCTGATGTCTTGATTTAGTTTAGTTATCTGTTAGTTCATTGATAGAATATTTTCATATTAGTTACTTCTTTTTTATGTACTTATTCTTTTTTTACACACATTAGCAGTTACATTTTCTGTTTACAGTGAGACTGATTCTTTCATTTAAACTGTCCCAAGGTCTAGTTGATAGTCAGAAAGTCTCTCCAGGGAGTAAACGAAGTTAGAAAGCCAAAATGTATTTTATTTCAAGCTATACCATTAACAGTAGTAAAAAAAATCCAACCAAACAAAAAAAAAATCTTCAATTTTATAGAATATCTCTTAGATAGAATTTTCTTTAGATACATCAATTTCAAGTTATTTTAATTTTTAGTTCATTAGATACTAAGTTGAGAATGTTAACACCATCTAATGAAAAATATTATTACATGATGCTTCTTTTTCCACTCTACCATCTTCTCTAAAGTTCTTCATAGACATTCTCTTTCTCTGTGTGCTTTAATTAAATTTTTGTGTGCTTCAGAATCCATAATTTTCTGGATTTAATGTGTCGAAAGCTATTATTAAGTGCCATAACCTTATTTTTAACTGAGGAGAGACCAGTTCTGAAAATAGAGTTTAAAGAACACCTACCTTTCACAGGTATTGGACATAAGACATAAGACTGAACAAATATAACAACCCCTTTAGAAAGAGAGGCAAATGTCAATACACTATGAAAAATATAATTTTTATGTGTTATGCAGTGAAAACTAGACATAGGTTATGTCAGCCTCTCTTTATAAACCTCTGTGTAGACAGAGTGGAAGCAAGCACTGTGTCTGTCTCTGCTGATCTTAGCATTCATTTTTTATATGGGAGGAAGTACAAGTTGGGTTCCTTTTATTTAAAATCTATTTAATTTCTCTAGAAGGCAAGAAAATATTATTCACCAGTTTTCTGTCATTTATTTATTTATTTATTCTTTTAATTACTTCTTAACAAAACAAAGAGAACATATGTTTTTTCTTTTTTTTTTTTTCTAATATGAGATATTAAATAAAGAACCACAGAAAGGTTTGAGTTGGAAAGAACTTTACATATCATCTAGTCAAAACCCATTGATATGAGTAGGGACGTCTTCAAATAGACCAGGTTGCTGAGAGCTCTGTCCAATCTGACCTTGAATGTTTCCAGTGATGTAATACACGACTCCCTGGGCAACCTGTTTCAGTTCTTCAACTATCCTAACTGTAAAAATTTTCTTCTATATATCTAGTCTGAAGATAAATTTAAATAATCATAATAAAATATGAAATAACTGCTGAAATTTTACTTTATACTAGTGTCATATAGATCACATTTTTAGGAAATCACCACAAGAATTAACTGTTTACAAGATCTTTTACTGAGAAAAACAACAGAAACAAGCAAAAGCAATCCACAATTTAAAAAAGAAATATATTTGCCTATGAATTTCTGAAGAATGTCTGAAGTTTCTGGGAGACAGTCTATACCTCGCCTAAATGTATAGTTAACCTGAATCCCAAAACGACTTTTTGCAAGCCACTATTTTTAATATTGTCACTGAGAAAACTAAGCAAACACAGTCATTTAAGATTCTGGTATCTAGACAAGATTGATTCCAGAAAATCTTTGGAATGGAAAACATCTAGTTATTTTTTGCACCACAGGTATAAGCCAAAGGACTGTCTTTTGGCAAGACATGCTCTCAAATTGATAGTTTTTCAGAATATCTTCAGTATAGAAGAGTTTCTAATTATTATCTTTCATTCAAATGCATGAATAGCTCTTTGTAATTTTCCCATTGCGACTACCTTTAAAATGAAGATGTTCTTAAAATTTTGTTACAACCAAGACACTCGCACAGGTAGGAACAATTAACAAGTACATTTTAGTTTTGAGCATTAATAATAAGGAGTTTTGAAAAGACACTTTGAAGTGTAAAGAGCTAATAAAGTAAATATAGAACATAGTGCAAGTGTACACCTCAGGAATTATCCTTACCTCTTATTCTTCCATCAAAATTATGTTTCTTTTTTCCTAAGACTTTGATAAACCGTGATGATATTGAAGTTATGTGTAGAGTAAGTATCGTACAGTTTTGATTTACAGGCATGGAAAGAACATTAAGGAGTACATTACAAGTTTGGGAAAAAAAATCAATGAACTTCAAGGTGTACTGAACTACAACACACAATTTTGAAATCTCTCAGCTCTAAGGCAAGATTTGCACACTCTACTTTAGTCTATTAGCAGTTCATATTCCCCAGCAATGTATCATTATAGGAAATCAATAGAAGATAACTTCATGCTTGATATTTGGGCAAATAAATCATCATAATAACCATTCTTGCTACTCTGTACACAGTAGGTGTTTGTGCATAAAGTGTGGAAATTACCAGTATTAGGTAAATGGATGCGTGCAGTTAAAAAACAAGTGTATGCATATTTACACATGTGGTAAGGACAGAATGTCAGGTGAGCACTTACATTTAATGTATTTAATGATATCATCAACTCAAGAGTGATAATGATTAAAACTGCAAGTACTGCTTTATAAAAGGGTAATTATTTTTCAGTTGAAAAATATATTTTAAACCCAGCAATATCAAATAAGGTCAGCATGATAGAATATATTAACTATAAAGCCTCTTCCTAGAGCCCTGGAATTCATTTTACTTTTTCACTTAGACACTTACAGATGTTCAGTTAACATTATAAATACATATTTTCACATATAAGAATTATAAGAGATGAACAATAAAATATTTCTTTACTGAAGTCTTCAAGCAAATAGTCTAGACAGTTCTTGTCCTCAAGCCCATACACTCACACTGCATAGGAAAGCATAGTAAGAAGAGTAAGAATAGAGAAAATAACACTTTAACACATTAAGTAGAATAGCCAAGACACCAAGTCATTACTTTAATATGTTTGCAAACACCTGTTTGCAGCCATGCCTGAACAGGGGAGGTGATGTGCATGCATGCTTATGAAAATAGAATGCAGATTTTATTTGCAACAGCTCGGGGCAAATTAAATTTGTTAAAGGAAAGAGAGTGTTTGAAAGCTAAACAGTGCTCCTAGCAGTTGCAATCTCTGGCAAGTTCCTCCCTGCAATGTTTGTCCAAGACTAGCAGGAATAGTAGTCATCGACATAGACCTTCTTGTTTTCTCTGTCACAGATCATCAAAGTATAAATGATACGGTCCTGAGAGGAAAAGGATGAGAACTATTATACTAACAACTACAGAGGAAAGGTTTTGGTTATGTCCATCAGGGCTTTATGCAAAATAATTTCTCAGATGTGCAGTACTTGTATGTTCGTCAAAGCAAGTTCCTAGAGCAGTGTGATTCATTACATCAGGATTTCTATTTTTAGGAAAGCATTATTTGATTTTTTTCTTCATACCTATACAGACTGGTGGGTTGGGCTGCCAGAAGTACCGATTTTCTACCTGAATGCAGGTTATTCTCTCATCTCCTTGAAGTTCATAGCCAGGGTCACACTGAAAAATGACAGTGTCTCCAGGTTCTCTTCCATCCCCATTTCTAGTTCCATTCATGGGGACTCCAGGATCACGGCAGGCAGTGGCTACAGAACCTTCCAGCAAAAGAAAAAATAAAAATAAATTTTTGAAAAAAGTAATCTTTTCAATGCATTTTTGCCCCATTACGTTTTGCTAATCAGGAGGCTCTGAAAATTCAAAATTTTCCTAATCGCTTCTAAAATTTTGATAAATCCTCCAAACTGAGAAATCTGCTGCTTTTATACTATTAATTTTTGCTGCCTCCTTTAGGTATTAAAAGTACCTAATTTTTCTTTTAATTATTTTTGTTTAAATTCTGTGGAGCACTGCAATATGTAAAAAGGAAAGTAGGAGATTTCCTAGTATCCTGGACATGTTGCACTTTTAACTTAGAGTGATTTATAATACGAATAATGGAAAAAAATAATTGAAAAAACAGATTAAGAATTTCAGATTTTTCAAAGAAGTACGCTTGTATACATCTTCAATTCTCCACATATATATATATATGTTATAAATATATGTATGGTGTAACATTTAGGAGTGATCTTGGAAGTAAATTTCATTTATCACTCATATCTATACCCCTGTACATGACCTATCTACAATGCTAGACCTTTATAATAATATCAAAGAAATCACACAAAAAATACACATGGATTTAGTCTGATAGAATAGACAGCTATATATAATGCATAAATACAGATTATTACTAAGACAACACACAATCACAATGACTACAAGGGAAATATGAGAAATTTATAGATATTATCCCCATACTTAATATATTCTGATCAACATATTATTTAAGACATTATGTACCAAAATATGTAAGCTTAAGTAAAAGGTAAGCACTTCAATGTCTATATAAGTAAATTTTATTTCCTACTTATGTTATAGAACTGAAACGTATTATAAATAAACACCAAATGTCAGATTTGCCTGTGGAACTAGTCCCATTGAGCTCAGCAATCTGTGCAACATAAATACAAAGTGGCAGTACTGAGATTTAATTCAGATGCCCTCTTTCTGGGGAGGTAATACCAGCAGACAGTTATCTATTTTTCCAAAATGTGTGGGGATTACATATTTACAATTTTTTTTAAGAGCAAATCTTGGTCTATATAGGTTATTTCTTTAAAAAAAACAAAAACACAAGTACCTTTCTTTCCAAAACATGCTTAACACAATATAAAAGAATAAGATCTATAAAGTCATGGGGCTTTTTATGGAGCTGTTTTTCCACATAAGAAATACTGATTACAGGGGGAAAAAGTCCCCAGAAAAACATCCTCATGAAAAATCAAGTATGAACAGAAGTAAGGGAAATATTTCCTCCTTAGTCCCCAAACATTAAAGAAATATTTCTTTAAAATGTTAACTACTGGATAATAAATGAAAGATAATGATTTTTTTAAATGGTCATGTAATTTTTTAAAATTTCTTCTTTAGACACAATGGTCATGACTATTGTTTATATCTTTAAAGATGCTGCTGAGTTTTAATTTAAAAAAAATATTACTGAAATATGAAATTACTAAATTCATTGCACTATACTAGCAGAATAAGATACTGGATCTAGATTACACTGGAATAAAATGTCATCAAATATGAAAAGGGTCAGATCAGAAGTAAAAGAAAAAAACCCTTGAAATAAACTTAGACTGAAGCAAGTAGTAAAACCAGTCATATATTTATCTGCATCCCTCCCTGCTGAGAACACAGGACAAACTGCATTTTTTGATTGGTGTTGACCAGTCAGAGCAGTCCACATTGGAAAGAAACTGTGTTGTGCCCACTTAAATACTACCTGCCTTGAATTTTGCCATAAACAAGAAAAACACTCCTCTGATTTATCTAAAACATGCTGGTATCAATTCCAGAAGAATGGGGGCTGATACTTACCCAGAATTTGTAATCAGTCTTGGAAGGACAAAGAGACAAAACCGTTGTTATAAAATTTGTTATTGTCTGTAAATCACACTGCTCTTACTAGATTGCATTGTTCTGCAAAGAAATTGTGTATGGCTGAAAAAGATGCTAAGGGGGCACACAAACCTGTTTAGAATTTCTCATACAATCTGGTTGGGTGTTTTAATCACTTAGTAATATCTATGCAAATTAACTTTATAATATGAGATCTATATGCCAAGCTTATAACCTTTCCCTTATTTGCCATCTTGCATGCTTGCATGCTTGCTCAACCTACTTCTTGCTCTTTTGGCTCTGTAGCCAAATTGGTGAAACATGGATTGGATACGTGATGTATGAAAAGGATGGAAAACAGGTTGATCTGCCAGGTTCAAAGACTGACCATAATCCAAACCCTAGGCAAGAGCTGATTAGCAGCAGTGTCCCTCAGGGGTGGATGTTGACTTCAATATTCATTAAAGATGAGGACAATGAGACAGAGTAAACTCTTGGCAAATTTACAGACACTGGAGGATCAGTTTATATGCTCTGGTGCAGGAATGCTGTTTAGGGAAGTCTCAATAGGCTGGAGAAAAAGCCTGATAGAAACTTCATAAAATTCAAAAAAGGAAATGCAGAATCCTGCACCTGGGACAAATCACTCCCAAGAAACAATACTAGAAAGCAGCTTTACAGAAAAGGAACAGAGAAGACAAGAACTCTTCTAGGGAGTGTGTATACAGCAAAAGCACAAACACAGCGTTTAGAAGTTGCAACAAGCAAAAATCCAGCTGCATAAAAGAAAACACTGGTTCACTGTGAGCGTGGTCAAACATCATGATTTTTGATTGTTGTTGTTTTTTTTACAGAGGGGTTGTTTTATGTCCAACCTTGGAGATATTCAAAGCCAAACACAGGCTGATCTGTTTGACTAGAGCATAAGTGGTAGAGTTCTTTGTTATTAAATCAATAAAAAGAATACATCACATTTTATTCTATCACAATAACTGGAAACTGAGAGTATGGAAAAGACTTACGGTCAAATTGCCTTAAATAACTAGTGAGGTACAATTTGTAAATGTAATCAATTACATTGCCGTTAAAATACATTTTTGATGGGAAATAGACAAACTCCAAAACGTGTCTATTATCTGGTATACGCAGCACGATCAGTGCAAGAGTAACTCTATGTGTAGCATAAACCCGTGTGTGATCATATGAGAGCTTTTTTCCTCTAATGAAGGTAGAGAAATGCAGAAACCTGTTTTATTTTTTCTTTGGGCACTGTTAGTTTAGAATAATCACACTACAATAAGCCAAACCATTTGTGCTAGATTAGGAATTCAAACAAACAATTCTTGATAAAAACTCCAGTATCATGACAGGGATGAGTGGGACTAATTTTCAAACTGTTCAATGGGTGAGAGATTATTGAACATATTAGACACACAGAGCTTGTATGACTTTCTACATGATCAGAGTGACAGAAAGTGTTTCAGTGTAGTTATTACACACTTCTGAGCTGAATGTGTTCATGAAATATAACTTCAGATTGTGTCTGAGTTTACAATTGGGCATGATTTTGGAGCAATGAATTGTTTTCATTTGCATAAAACTAAATTGGAAGATTCATTTCTGAACTACAGTAGAACACTTTGAACTATCCATGAACAGTGTTGCCAGCAGTAGTTCAGTACCAGCTGTTTCAATCTATATATCAGTTCCACTTGGTCTACGTTATTTGCTAACAGAGAAATAACCAAAGGCCCCACAAGTGAGACTTAATATCTCAGATATTCATATAACACATTCTCTAATGCAGACTTTGAATATGAGACCACCAATCCTACAGAAAACATGTGCCCATGCTCAGGTAGAAGTAATACTTACTCTGGAGAGTTACTTATCTTATCCCATTCCTGCTCTATGACTCAAAGGAAGTGGGGTAGAACCTTGTTTTGCAGTTTCATGGCAGTCAAGCCATGCAAAAAATTCAGCTCCCCTTCCCCCCCACAACTTGTTTGGATTTGTCCTAAGAACATTCATATGAACAGATGCATATGTTCTGAGTAGCTGAGAGAAGGGAGTATCTTAAATCATCTCTTTACTTGCTGTACAATACTGTGCAAATGCTCCTACAGAGCCACTGAAGTTGTTAAATCCAGAAAAGGTGTAAACACAGATCTATCTACAAATGTCCTTAATGTGGGATATAAAAACATTTTGACACATCTTTTTAATAATAAGGCACAAAAATACATTTAAGCCCTAAATCAGATAATTAAATATTTTAAGTTGATAATTCCTGTCTCAAAAATAAGTTACTGTCAGAGTCAAAAGGTTTCTGATAGTTTATAAGCCTAGGCAATTTAAGATGTGACTGAAATGTCCTAAAAGGACATTTCTATTTTCATGCAGGAAAGATACTTTGAAACATGGCATTAAAAGTGTGACAAGGTTGTAATAGACTACACCGATGCTGGGATCAATATAATAAATGTCTTGAAATTTCTTGCTGTTAACAGTGATTTCTAAATTTAATGTTCTAATGCATGCCAAGTCCAATATCAGTAAGGAGTCCTAATCCCCGCCCTGAAGAATTAGGGAAGATTCTTCTCAACACAGAATCAGGTCAGAAGCTCTAAGCCTTCCAAATTTCAAGCTCTCCATAGCACACAGCATGTTAAAAAAAATTAACTTCTTTAAACCAACATGTTCTTCCAAACTCCTATCACTTTAAATAAAGACTTTCCAGTATTGCTGTTCTTTCAAACTTGCACCAGCCTGAACCAATCCTGACAGATTGCACCTTCAAAATTCGAGCTGCCTCAGAATCCATGTAATACCTTTACCCGTATGGACACTGCAGTCTCCCTGCATCTCTAACTCTGTTTGAGAACCAGGTCAGCTTGGTATTTGCTACCTCAAATCCAACCTTCTATACAACTTTTCCTGAAAAAGAAATAATAAAATATCTACAGCGTTTTCATTGTCTTCTACCGACAGAAACATTTCTGATAAATTTTTTAATCTATTTTTAACTTTTATTTCTGCTCTAGATCTAACAGGGATTTAGGAGAATAGTTGATATAATTCTTAAGTAAATTCTAACCACAGACTCTGTTTGTTGATTTTTCATGACTTCATAGATTCTATCTAAGTT